TTTTCTGGGTCACCTTTACCATCTTAGGCCAGCCTTTCGCCGCCATGCTATATTTCTACGCCTGGCAGGCCAAATACGGTTCCGTGTCTAAACAATATGGGCCTCTCGTGACTTTAAATTTGCCGCCTGCTATTGCTGCGTAGGACACATGTAGAGTAGATGAGCGTCGACTGTGATTTCCCTATGTTCCAGCGCGAAAAAAAAAACTAGTTTATGCACTTTCTTTATAATATAATACTGTTCAGCGACTGCGTCCAGCGGCTCTGGGTGACTAAAGTTGACTTGAAAAGCCTCGATATCTTGTAGCGAAGAGCGCTGAGCGTTTTCACAGCTTCCGTGAATACGATTCAGTATTGTGTATTGTCGTATTGTCCCATCGACAGCACGGAAGAGCATCACTGCCAGGTTTCATTGCAAAGCAGTCTCGAGCCTCGATGCTAAAACCGTACAGGAAAATGAGCGATGACTCGGACAGCGTTCAGCATCAAGATCTTGGGACAAACACCTCAGGCTCTGCTACAATATTGATTATCTGCTACAGAGTTATTATAGCCATCATTTTAGACTGGTTATCACGATACTCGCGTGTCAAACATTTGATGGTCCAGACGTTGAGACTTGATGAAACTTTGACCTTGGCCGAAGGCAACATTTTGAGGAGGGAGGGCAGAGAGGGCATGAGGGAGGAGTGGGATGTCCCGAATAGGAAATCAGGTATGAGCCAGGGTATAAGGGAGAATATCGATTCTCGCGGCATGGCGCTACGTTCTATCAATGTACAGGGCATCATTTCTTGGATCTCGGCCCTGCACCTTTCTACTTGACGGAGACATGACCGAGGACACAAGATGACAATACTTGCCTTCCTAGTGTCTGGTTTAGCACCTCCCTTAGCAAGGTACCAAGGGGTGTCATAGTCCTGAAAAGGGGATAGCAGTCTTCGCAAAGTATGGGGAGTATATCCGATATCCAGACGCATTCTCTGTGGCTTACTTCAAGCAATGGCATGACTTCGGTGCCTGCGCTCCCGCGATTCGCAGTACCGACAACACGATCGATTGTCTAGAATGACTTTACAAGCTCATTGATTGTTTGCGTGCTACCGTTCAATTAGGCAGCAATGCTTCAATATCGTGTCGAAGATTGATCTATAATGGCTGTTTCTCCTCCCAACGCGAGCACCGATGTGTACACGATCTTCGGCAACGACTTGGACGAAATAACACGATCGCTTGGTTCACAATACCGCGGCAGTCCTATCCACTACAAAACGTTTGTGATTTGCATGTACTATGTCCAAGGCTGGAGGAACACCGTCAGCACAGATTTGCCCACCTCACGAGATCGGTACGCTTCCACGGACATCTCACCATATTCAGGTACCAACTTTTAGACGTATGAGAACCGGGACGAAACTCCTAGACCCAAGATTGACATCGGTGATAAAGAGTACAACATATAGCTACCAACCTAAATACTGCCGTGACTCCAGTGTAGGGGAGCCAACAGAACTTTATAGCAGCATTCATCTGCCAAGGGGGCAAGGCCTTCCCACATGAACAGAGAATGTCTCATGACAGGTAGCCATCGCGGAGTGTTCAAATTAAATGAGGTAAACCCTCATACAGCATATATGGACACTCGATTACACGATAAACCCAAGATCCGACTGTTTTCCCTATTCCTCCGCTTCTAAACCTATGCCCCTAACCCATACCCCCTTCGCTTATTGTTAGCCCCTTCAATCCCACCCTTATCCCCCTCTTTCTTCACTTACACTCCATGATATCTAGCTAGTACTTGGCATCCCGCCGTCGTCGTTATGAAAATAACCAGCAGGTGATGTCAACAGCGGCCAGAAAGCCAAAGGGTGGATGGCAAAGCATCATGCACTGGCGCTCATTACTTGAGCATTGCGTAGGGCATTGAGGTTCGACCTCACAAAATCTCTCATGTGTTTCGCGTGTTGCTAGCAAGTAAAAGAGTTGCCATTCCCCCGCATAGTTATGTAGCACCATAGCCGAAAGCCAACATTTTCAGCAACATGATTTATTTTGACTATCGTGGGATATGTATTACTGTTCATTGATTCCAATCCAGTACCACTGGGGGCTGCCAAGTACACAGATTGACGACGGACGGGAGACATTTACATTAGGCAAAGTTGACGAGCATAAACAGATAACTTAAAGACGATCAAGTAAATAGGCTCATTGTTTTTATTTACATCCGCAGACAACAAAATCAAGGGTAGAGCAAGATATTAGCAAACGTGGCGGCCAAGACTTCTACAAGTACATGTCATGGAAATGGCTGCCACGCAAAGACCAGTCTATCTCACGTCCAAGCAACCAACCATTTGCACCCCTGTGCTCGGATATGAAAGAAACTTTTGTTGATTTTGGGCAATTTTACATCATCTGCCTTTGGCCAGTCGAAAGGCATCAGACGTCGAGGTCTTGGTCTGAGGGACCAGTGTATCTTCTGATGAGGTTCCGGATCTTAAGCCGTAAAACAGCCACGGATATGCATCACAGCCCAAGTCTCTAGAACGGTTCATCGTGGGGAATCAGCCAGCGACTTAGGCGCCCAAGCTAGGGAACGCAGATTCGTCGGTAGGGTTGATCTGGGCGTTGTCGCGAGCACCACCGCGTCCGCCACGGAAGTCGCCACGGCCGCGGCCACGACCTTCACCACGTCCACGTCCTTCGCCACGGCCAGCACCACGGCCAGCACCGCCACGGGGTCCACCGCGTCCACCGCGAGAGGTTCGCTCAGGCTCAACATATCGCTGGTCAATGTCGACGATCTGCTTGGTCTTGCGCTCGCGCTCACGCTTGGCCTTGCCACCAGAGCCGGCAATGAAGTCGTCCTCATCATCCTTGGCAATAGGCTTGGCGTTGGCCCACTTCTTGTCGGCCTTGCTACCCTCGTTGGGCTTGCGGATCTCGAGATTCTCGCCGAGGGCGAGCTTCTTCTCGGCCTGCTGGGCAAGGTAATCGGCGTAGGAAACGTGCTTCTCCTCGGGTTCGGCAGGAGTCAGATCCTGAGCGTCCTCGGCGGTAGCCTCCTTCAATTCGGACTGGGCAATCTCCTCGCCAGCCTGCTCATCCTTCTGCTCAGCTTCGCCCTCAGCGGCACCCCAAGATTGAGCCGCCTGCTTCTCGGAACCACTGTTTGGCAATCAGTGGGAGCGTCTTGGGAGTGTGTAGTGTTAGTGACCATAAACTTACGTGACTTGACTCTTGGTATGTCTATCGTCGCGCTCACGAGGGAATCGACCACCACGGCCTGCATTGGAATTAGCCATGATGTATTTGCCTTGATCTTGGTTGAAACTCACCACCTCGATCGCGGGCACCACGACCTCCACGGGGGCCACCTCGGGGAGCCTCGTCGGTAGCACGGCGGTGGTTAGCGCCACTGCCGGCATTGCGATCACGGAAAGCTGCCAAAAACGAAATGCGTCAGATTGAAATATTTCATCATATGAAATCGCTTCCATTCTTGAAGAGGATATGGAAGAGACGAGGAAAAGGCTGAGCGTTGTTTACCTCCCTCGTTACCACCAGGGCCAGCACGACGGGCACCGGTGTTAGCAGCAGGCTTCGCGGGTGCCTGGGGCTCGACGTTGCGCTTGGTGCTGCGCATGGAGTTCTTGTCGACCGTCTTCACGGGGGCGGACGGCTGCTCGTCTCCATCGTCGTTACCTGAACACGTTGGTCGAGATTAGCGATGCTGGAAGTGCGGTTGGCAGAGTTTTCACCCGAGGTGAAAGCCGTAGCAAGCTGGCATACCGAGGAGGTCGAAGAGGTTCTGACGCAGAATATTAGCTTCAAAATACGTAGAAACAGACAATTGATACCAAGATAGCTGTTAGGGAAGCGTAAAAGGTGCAACGATGGACTTTTGATGGAGTAGAAGCTCATTGAGCAAATAAACAGAGCTTTCTGGGTAGCAGACATACCTTGGAGGCGACCGACATGATGGCGCCAGGTTATCGCCTTTCAGCAAGGCGGAGCTTTGGGACGGTCAATCGAATCAAGGTCGGTGAGGGTAATAGGGAAAGGATACGGCCTAGCAGGTCATATCCTATTGGGAAGAGATGGGAGTTCGTCGTCGGGATCCGGGTCGGATGGATGAGAGAGTGGTGGTGGAAGGAATTCACAATCAAGGTTGGCCCAAAGTGGAGGTTGGCACAAAGTCCCGATTCTCTCTTTTTTCGCCTGGCGTTACTTTTTTGCAGGTGCGCGCACCAGCTGGGGTAAGGTACCTAAGCTCCCTAAGCCGGGTCAAGCTTGCCCACTACGACTGCCACTGGCTGCCCCGTGCAGCACTGACGGGATCGGGAAAACTTTGGGTATTCTCGCTTAAATATTTTGTGGTCTTTGCGCAGTGTGGCCGCTTATTCAGCCTTTCAGGGTTCGATTTCCACAAGACAAGCACTGACTCGGATCAATACAACGGGAGAACTTGGGCTTTAAGGCATTAATGGCATATTCATTATTGCCAATAAGTACGCCCTAATAAACACCTTGGAGACATTGTATCTGTTACCATGAAAATATTGGAGAATATCCTCAAGAACATGACTGTCTTGCATCTTTGACTTATTGTCAGCAATTGTCTAGAGGTGCAAGAATAAAGGCTGGCACAGTCTCTCAGTCATCCGGAAGGTTCCTTCAAGTACCTGATCCCATATGAAGAACAACAGGGTTGAAACCAAGAAGCAGATGATATGAACCTACTAGCTACACGATGAATTGTCTAAAACACGAAGGAGCATCATCTCACCCCCTTAAGATAGTAGGAAGAAAGTCAAAAATAAGACTGTATGAAATTTTACCAAGATACAAGAGGGAAAAAGGTCTCACATGCCGCACGCCGTGCATTCTATTACGTCCCGGCTTGGGCACTATCCCAGCAAACTTCAACTGGCCAAAAGTGTCCGCGAAAAAGAATTATGATTTTCAAATCTTACCTACGAAAAGGCAAAAGAATGACCTTGCCAGGACTCGAACCTGGAATCTCCTGATTTACTCAGTAGTGTAATCGTAGTCAGGCGCCTTAACCATTGGGCCACAAGGCCAGTGGGCGTGTTCAAGGAGTCAGAATCCTTGTGACTAGTTGATGGATTGCGGTGGAGTTATCTGCGTACATAACTCTTGTGGGGCTTTGGCGGCTATGATTGTGGGGGATATGAACTGTTCAAAGACCACGCATATGGCTGCTTAATGATGACCAAACTGAAGATCTTTTTTCAGGTACTCCCAGTACTTGAAATGGGACACCCAATTGAGTGGGTTCACATCTGAATATGTGCTTCCTTTCGTTTGACCCTTAGCTATAGGCGAAGGCGCGGGTGCCAAATGTGGTATATCACGGATATGCAAATCAAGGACCAATCTCTGCCAGTAAGTTACACGCGCATTCTTCACAGTCCGTCTGGCTATAGCACTGGAGGAGATTCTCATGAACCAGGATTCTGAAGAATGCGGCAATACGCTGGAGACTGCTCCAGATGTTAATTCCTATTGAAGTAGCTTGTGCCCAATGTCGGCAAGAGGGAGGTAGATGGCAATCGTGTAATTGATGAGGCAATTGGAACTTTTGGTTGGGATACTGACCTACCAGGGAAGCCACCTTTACGCAAATACAACTTTAAACACCTTGGACCAAGATATGCCTACTAATAATAAGTCAACATTCCTTACTAGTTCGAGGTGATATCGAGACGGTGCACAACTAATATATCGCGTACCGTACCGCCACCAGGCCCATCTTCCGTGGGAACACGACCATCAAGCCAAAGATAAGCCCATCGTGGGGGTATCTCTCGTATTGACCTATGTAGTAGGCAAATACCTCTATATACATCCCAAGCCTCTGAATGATATCCAACCGGCCTCTGAACCGAAGCAACCATGCGCGCAGGAACCGGGGGCGGGTGGATGCGTATCCCGCGACCGCGTGCCAATCAGACGTCTCGGTACCTTTGCCATCATCCCGTCCTTCCCAAGCGCACGACGCTGCTATCATTTCTGCATTTTTTTAATGGCGAAGCATCTACCTTATTTACCTACTACATAGGTAGGAGCCCAGAAAAAACAGGGATCGTGGGGTGGTTGCATTGCCATTTGCGCAAGCGCCCGGCTTGTGAGGGATTTGGCGTTTCTGTTGATAATGGCAAATAGTCGTTGCACTCTTATCTCGGACGGACGACGGGATTCACATGCGCGCGGCCGGAGCTGGGGCCGTTGCCCCCCCATCCTATCCCCTTGAAGATAAGAGAACATCCGACATACAAATACAGACCTGTTCTCCTTATTCGTTCCGCTTTGATAGTTCCTCTCGAGTTACTCTCTCGCTCTGTCAGGTGTATCTATTGCTTGATGCGAGTCCGTGGAAGCTTGAAAAATCATCATTGAAACGCAACAGGGCTTTCTTGTTGGAACCCTTACTCACTACCGGTTCCAGACATGTACAAGTTGAGAACAGTACTTGACCTGTTTGAGCCCATGATACTTGCATGACAAGTCATGTGTGCCTCCCGGTACCTACAGTAGAAGTATCACATTTCCTTTCATGTCACCGCCCGAACGAGTGTTCCGGTGTAGGTATAGGCCAATACTCTCATTGTTATTTCCTTCATTTCTCTAGCGAAATCGTGGCACCAGTCGTGGCCTGATCAGGAGGACCCTAGCTCGAGTAAGGATGTCAGAAGACACAACAGTCAGCATCACCGTCGCAGTATTAGTCGCCGGTTCACACCTTGAACCCTTGGGACGGAAAGGACAACGGCACCATAAGTCCATGCACGAGGAAGCCCAGAGATGCGGTGAAGGAGGAAACCTGGGTACGGCGAACCACAACACCGACAAGACATCGTCAATTAAGGCGCCGATGACGGATGTTACGAGAATTACGTTCACGTGGGAGACCGACCTGGAGCTTCACGACGACGCATGAGTGGTTCACATGACCGCTCACAAACCGACGCAGTGCCGAGCAGCTAGTGAGAAGCACCGCGCCAATTCCGGGGGGTCTAGGCCACGTCGATCACCGTCAGGAAGGGCACAGGGGCAAGAGACGAACCCCGCGCTGGCTTGCCGGTTGCCCCGCACCGCGATGCAGCAAACGTGTCGATGCTCGCCTTCGTGTATGGACTATGTACGGACGCGATGTAGAAGGGATTTCATTAGCTTGCGACGATGGGAGGCTGACGGGGCTTTGGTGAAGAGACGGATGTTGGACTGACGGGAAACGGAACCTTCTCGGGGGTCCGTAAGGGTTGTGCAAGATTGTGCATATACAAGGGTCATGAGATTAGACGCCACCTCGCTGAGACCTTCCTTCGGGCGATGGCCACGACGACGGACTCGCACGTTGGAGCGGACCGCCAGAAATTTTTCTTCTTCGAGGCCTTCTGCCACCGCGATCATGGACTCAGGGCAGTATATCCCAAACGGTACGGCAATCACTCGATACTCGTTGACACCGCCTCGAATGATGAATGGGACTGGCTGGGCATCGAGACACACTCCATGCCGACGGCGGAATCCAACGACGTATGAAGCGTGAATAACCGGCCACGAAAAAAAATCGACGGCCAGACCCGACTGGTGCCCGCTCTTCACCTTTCCAAGCACCACCTCTGCCTCCACCATTGCCCTCCTTCGCGAGTCCGGCATCCCACCCACTCCAGCCCCCATCTACTAATCTCCAGATACCCTAATCAGGATGCGGTGCACTGTTGCAGTGTAGGCAATACAGTAAGCCTCGAGTTTGGACCCCTCAATCCTGTCCCCTCCCCTCACAAAGCCGAACCGGCTTGGCAATATTGGTTGCATCGGGATTGGTCTCTTCAAGTGGGATCCGGCCGCGTCCGTCCCGAGCCTGGCTTGCCAGGCCAGACTTCAGTGCTGTTAGCACCACGACCCTTGGAATGGAATGGAGACGAAGAGGATATGCTTAGTGGGCATCTGCTTTGATCAAGTTCTTGCTTCAGAGTCACGCGGAAGCGTTGCGGGCCTGCGCAGGGTCTGGAAGGCGACAGGTATATCACATATCTAGGGCGGGTAGGTGGTCATGACCTCTCATGCAGGCCAGCAAACATGTAGTCTTCCCCGTCTGTCCACTATGCCACCGTGCATGCATGCCGTTCTCAATGGAAGCACGCATACTCACAAGTACCTACCACAAGCTCCGTAGTGACCCCAACGCCCTCCATCCGATATGACAGCTCGCACAACGGTCAAACCGTTCGCATTTGTAGAAGTAAACAGAATCCAGCAGACAAGAAAGCCGTTGCAGTTGTTACCCACACCATCCTAACATTAATACCACGTCACTTCCGAACGTCTACGCTGCGATATCAGAGTATCCAATCAGCTTTCTAGTTTCGAAGAGGATACCTTGATCCCTCATACGGCACCGCATAGTTCTGGATGATGAAGTCCTTGCTGGATCTGGATTCTCAACACCTACATGCTACCTGCATTATGTACGTGCCTTACGGCTCTGTGGAGAAGTCCATCGCAAACTTTACAGAAGCTTGTGGCTGGAATTTCTGGGACGAGGGGCGAGACCTCCCAGGACGTCCTTGACCTGGCTGGCTTTGGTACATCAAACAAGAGAATGAAACTACCTGATGTCCACTTCTTCTTGGCAGCTCAAGCATTCATGTGCCAGTATATTTTAATCGAGCAGTAAGAATAATGATTTGCGTTCACTTCTGTTTGATAGTTCGGGAGTCTGGCCTCTGAAATCTGAACTATTCAAGCTAGAGAGTGCCTAAGCTAATTTTGCAACTAAGCTCTGTACATACCTAAGTAGGTACTCTAGACAAGAACGAAGCCGAGTGAAAAGACCCATGGTAGATTTGCTTACCGTTCGTAACTCATTGATGAACTCGCGCCGCTTAGCGTCAATATCGTCCCTCGCGTGTGCGACTCCTTCAAATCATATCTCCCAACCCCATGTGTCCGGACCCAAGTGAACCCAAATTTAACCTGGGTCAACATCTTTCACGTCTCGTAGTGTAAAGCCAACAACATCCTCACGATGTCGACTCCCAGCCGTCATGTTAACTACTTCCAAAGAAGAGGTAGAAAAGAAATTGAAGTCGAAGCGCGATATCCACATCATAGGTCCCGTAAAGGGAACCGGGAACATGCCCATGAAACAAGAGGGTAAAGGAAAAAATCATGGACGGAATCATCTTCCACGGCCCTTATATCCCTCTCACTCCTTACATATCGGTATAAGAGGCCAAGTGTCAAAAAATATATATACAGTAAAATATACCACACAACAGGGAACAGCGATCAGAAAACTGCCCACTACCTTCCACTGCCATGAGAAAGAAGGAAATGCCTCGACCAAACACCAGAACGCGGACATGTTCTCGCTGAAAGTAAGCTTTGAATTTCGACAACAACTTTTTAGACTCCTCAACTCCATCTGTGTCGTGATCCATGACTCGCCGCAGGTTAACTTCGTGTCGTGGCCGTGGTGCGGTACCTACAGCAAATGTATAATCTCCGTCTAATCCTTAGAATCGGAAAAACAAATTAAAAATCGAAAATTTTTCCTTGCCAATCCTTCATGAAAAAGAAGGATATTGCAAACTCGTAACGCCTCGATGCTTTTTTTCGTGGAAATCGGGATAACAACATGACCGCCCAGCCGTTGGGTATTATATGCCAGGTGCCTCGCCGTGCAATGCTCCGAAATAAAACCGCCTGTTTAGCCCATCCTGTGGCTAGTCCTCCCTTGTACTGTTTTCAAAAAATGTCTCGGTTCATGGGTCCTCTCGAAGGGATGAGGTCTCTGTCCCTAGAATTGTATCAAGTATCGGACCACTTGTTTCGTGTTTCGGTCGTGAAACTCATCAGTCGGCCAGTTGTGTCCTATTCCTAGGTACGACCCGATCCAATGCCGTTATTCTCGACAAATGCGGCATTCCTAGTATAGTCCCTACTCTTTTGGAGCCTCTGTACCATGTCTTTTCTTGTGACGGACCATTTCTTGGCATACCTCTATCGCATATTGCTCGTGTCGAACGAGAATTGTGTCGGGAAAGCCATT